GAGACGGTTCCCAGATCGGGTTAAGGTTTCAGTGCAACAGCAGTCAGTACCGCCTTTGACCTTTCTGTTCTTTTTTCTTTTTCCTTTTTTTTTTTCCACCAAAGCCCTTTTTCGCTCTTTAGTTGTAAAAATGTAGTTGTAATTGTAGTTGTAATTGTAGTTGTAATTGTAGGGTTTTTTTTTTTTTTTTTTTTTTTTTTTTTTTTTTTTTTTTTTTAATGGGAACAAGGCTCCAATCTCTTCGTGGGGAGCAGCACGTGCTCGGAACCGGGCAGTTGTAATTGTAGGTTGTAAAACAACCCAAGTCAATGCTAGAGGTGCTGTATTTCACCTGACTGGTTGAGGGACAGGTCGAGGGACAGGTTCTTTTTTTTTTTTTTTTTTTTTTTTTTTGTTCAGGAGAAGAGTAGGATAAGTTGGAGGCAGTGAGGATGTTGTTTGGTAGTTGGTGATTGTTGGTTGAGAACTTAGGAGGGATACTACAGCGGTCTGGATCTGAATCCCGCCGGAGTTGCCGGAACCAGGTCTGCTGGTTTTTTTTTTTTTTTGTAAGGTACGCCGGGCCCGTTCCCCGGTTTCTTTCGAAAAAGAAAGTTTTGAGCTCAACAAAAAAAAAAAAAAAAAAAAAAGCTCAGCGTTGAGAAAACTCAACTTGGGCGGGCGCTCCCCAGCAAGGGCGGGTGCACATGGGACAGCACAACCCCATGTCCTCGACAGCTTTCTTTACCTTTTTCTTTTTTTTCTTTTTTTTTTAACAACTTTTTTTTTTGCCTTTCGTGCACACTTTGACCGGTGCCAAGCAAATGATTAAATTTATTAACTTCTGTATTTGAGGCATTTTTCAGTCTAGATACAGCCATAACGACCGTCCATTGTATTCGGGGGAAGAAGGTAGGCTTCTGCGTCGTTAGTCAAAGTGTTCTTGGTTGATTCATTAGATTCTATCCGGAAACAGGAAAACTCTGCTTGCAGGGGTCCCCTCTAGATAGTCTTAGGAGTAGGCAGTGGAAGGTAAACAAACAGAAGTTCAGAGAAGAATATAGACAGTTGTGATCACCCACCCCACCCACCCCAAAAAAAAAAAAAAAAAAAAAAAAAATCCATCTGGACTCGAACTCAAGCCTGTGTTTCTGCAGCCCATAGGTGTACCCCCCTGTACCCACTGATCGGCCAGTCCCCAGGCAATTGACGAATTTTTCATTCATCTAGTTGGATGTGTATTCGAACTGACATCTGCTCCTCACCAGTTCATCGACGTACCCACTACTCTCTAAGGTTCGTTGGTGCTCACCGCTTTGGTCGAGTCCTTGGGGATTCCATGGACATCCTAAGACTTGGTACGAATGCAGGTCCGGTCGTCAACAGCTACATGGCAAGGTGATCTGGGGCAAGGTCCCGCTTGGACAGATCCTTCGTATCTGGCCTTTTATCTTCAAGAATCTACGGCCATTCTTTTCTTCTTCCGAAATAAATCACTTTATAATACTATCGAAAAGCTATGCTTGCAGGGGTTCCCTGTATAGCCATCAGGGCCGTGGTCCCACTAGCAAAGGGGATAGGATAGAAATCCTGAATCTGGCCTTGTTTTACGCAGAGATACAGAAAAGCACTTCGATCTCGATTTCCTGCTCCTGTCCATCAAACGCGTCCAGATTCAGGCATCCAATCCAACACTGATTGCTAATGGGACCATGGCCTAGGAGTTACTGTAATGGAAGCTCGTGAAAGAAAAAAGACATGGGCCTTCGTAGTGGTAGCTCCTGAGAGGAAAAAGATATATTTCAAAGGGAAAAAGAATTTGAGAGACGAACATAGTGTAGTCTCTTTAAAAAAAAAGAAAAAAAAGAATAAAAAAAAAGAAGAAGAAGAAAGAAAGAAAGAAAGATTCCACAACATGGAAGACAGCCAGTTAAAATATGTACGTGAGGTAAAGGAGACTGCTCTTGCACCACTGTATTGGTGCCAACCCACCCCATGGGCCTGCTGGGCAGAGTTTCAAGCTTTGGTTGGTATTGAACTTCCCCCGTGTGAGACATTAGAGTAGCAACGGGATGAGACGAGGAAAATATATACAACAACGGGATGAGATTAGGAAAATATATACAAAAAAAAACAAAAAGATTGAGAGAAGAATGTAGATAGAAAAAAAAATATATATATACATATCGTCACAAACAGAACTGCCCGGTAAACGGCAGGCAGAGAGAGAGAAGAGGACAACAAACGAGGGGGCTGTGACGAACTGTTTCGTCGCAGTCTCACCGACTCATCAGGAGGCTGAACCCTCAACAGTCTGCAGAATCCCCTCAACCCTCTATTTTTATTTTTACTTTTTATTTTTTCCTAACCGGGAAACAGTGCCAGGAATCAGGCTTGGCATCCCTCACATAGACATTGCGGTCCTGTTTGATGGCAAGACAACATCTGTCCCCCAATGAAGAGAATACAGCTTTTTTTTTTTTTTACATCTCTCAAATTTCTGTACCGATCAGGAACACACACACACACACACACACACACACACANAAAAAAAAAAAAAAAAAAAAAAAAAAAAAAAAAAAAAACAAACAAACAAACAAACAAAACAAAACAAACAGGCTGAGCCACATTGGTAATGAGTTCACTCAATTTGCCGCTGGACCTGCTGCAGGTGTAGTAGCTCCCCGGCGATAGTCAGAAACCTCTGCGAGAGAACTCAATTGAGTGAACTCATTACCAATGTGGTAATGAGTTCACTCAATTTGCCGCTGGGGTGGAAGTTCATATCATCACCCCTTAGCTAGCTGTCAATTCGCACGATGTCAAAAAAAAAAAAAACAATCTTTTCTCCCCCACGAGCTGGGCCCCCCACCCTTTACAAGATGGGACGCCAGCAAGCTTTCCAGGTGGAATCCCGGGGCCAAGTCCCACTACCGGATGCCAAGGTTTTGGTCCCCCCTATGCTGCACTGTGTGACATTCTATCCTGCCGTGGACTGCAGAAGATTGCACGAAGAGGAAATAACGTTCACACAGAATATGTAAAATAGTTATTTGATCACCGTCACTCATTGGTGGGCAATTTTTTTTTTTAGGCCAACGGCGGTAGTCTGGTTTTCGTTCTTCGCGTGGTGCGCAGTGTGCAAGGAATGGAAACCCCAAGTCTCGACAGACAGCATGCACATCCTCAGGCCGTCGCCCCAGTAGGGAAATGCTGTGCCCTCACTAACATGTGCATATTAAATGCTGTGCGCTCACCAACTTGTGCAGACTCTGAGGCGGATTGCACCAGCTCTCGCAGAGGGCTCCATCCCCTCTCATTGCGCTTTGGGCCAAGTCGCCGCCAAGACCCTCACCCTCCAACTGACAGAGGGCATGCGCATCCTCAGGCCTTCACTCCAGTAGGAAAATACCGTGCCCTCACCGTGACTGACTCGTGCAAAACATTATGTGCCCTCACTGACTTGTGCAGAGGCGAAATGGGCTCGATCCCCTCTCATTACACTTTGGGGGTGGCACTGCATCAAAAACCCTCCAGCTCCAACGGTATGCCGCACACGACTTTCTTTTTCTTTGTCCTTCACGTCCAACCGTCGCACTGCGAACCAAACATTTTCCTGCGGTTCTGGGAGTTAGCCCAGCCTGGGCCCTGACTTTCAGAGGTGGGACCGTACAAAGTTTCACAGTTAGAAGGGACTCCTAACGCTCTCGGAGTCTCCATTTCGAAATAAGAGCTATGCCCTCTGTGTCTTCTCTTTTTGTCCTCAATCCACCACACAACGCAACATTGCAATTTCCCCATTTTCAAAGCCGGTACATTTACGATGTTCGACTCGGCCGAATGGCACGTGATGGACAGTGATGCTGAAAGCGACCAATTGCATGCTGAGCGCTGGGTAGAGAAGCCAGGGCCGTTTTTTTTTCCTTTCTCTTTTCGAAGGGCGACGGCCTTGAGTTATGATTGAGCTGACCGGCCCCAGGCAATTCAGAATCATTTGGCTTTACTCATCATGTTCCAACATCATCATCCTGTTTCGAGCCCCGGTCTGTACTTCAACAGCTCACGAGTACCCTCTGAGCTCATTTTTCGGCACGTAGTTTTTGGGCAAAAACGAGATCCGACTTCTTTCCCAACAATTCGGCGGCGGCTCTGCATCATCCAGGATGTAGAAACGTTGGCAGATCTTGCACATTTTTGGCGTCTTCGTACTGCTTTCGAGAAACGGAAGAAGCCACACACGTCTCGAGTAGAGAAAAAGCAGGCGCATTTGTTTGGGGTATTTTTTTTCTTCTGGTTGTGCCCGTGGGCCATGCATGGTTCACACAGGTTTCCGTGCAATGTCCGCAGTTCACCACAGTGCGTGACATCTGGTCCGAGTGCCCGTTCAAATGGGACACCGGTTGGGCCACCCCTTTTGGCAGAGTACTCTAGCAGCCTTCGCGAGGCACTAACATTTCAACGTTCTTAGCAAAGGCACTACTTTCCCCGTTCAGTGGGACACCGCTGGACCCACCCTCTTGTATTCGCTTTTACGACGGCACAGAGCATGATAACATGTACACCTTCGCTCGGCCCTGATAACGGCAACCACCATCGTTCCGGCAGCACTGAGCATATAGTGCACCTCACCCGTAGTTTCTTTGGGCCTCGTTCGACACCACTACAAAACCCTTACCTTGTACGGGCGCCCTCATAACAAAAAAGTGATTTTTTTTTTTTAAATGCCCCCTTCAGTGGTAGTGGTGCTGTTAAGAGCAGACAAAACACTAGTGATTAATTTTCTCTTACCCCATTTTTCGTTCCAGAACCACTCACAAAAACCCTTAACGGTTAGGCGCGATTATGTTTCAGGTGCCTCCGTTTCCATTCGAAGTCGCCGAAAGAGGAATTCGAATGTCCGACCCACAGTTGCATCGGACAGAATTATGTCCGCTACCTTTGGGCCAGGCAGGGCTGTGATATGGGCGCGCGATGTCATCCGTGAATGAGGAGAATGCGCACACGGACTCTAACGATTCGAATTCAAATCCCGCACCACCAGTTTGCTTCGCAAACCTTGCATTTTAGAGTCCCTGCGCTGCGCGCACATTTTCGACGTTGCACCTTGCATTTTAAATTCCTTGTGCGCATTTTTGACGTTGCATGTGCCAGTACTCTACCATTGCGGCGCCACACATGGCTTCGCTTGACTACCGTGTGACGTGTTTTCGCAAGGGAGTTCAGCTGTGCACGGCGGTGGACGTGTTTTCGCAAGGGAGTTCAGCTGTGCACGGCGGTGGACGGGATGAAGCGGCCACAAGAATAGCATTACCCCGAGAGAAGACAATGGTCGCCAGTGCCGTCCTCATGGTCTGTTGGCACATGGAGATGGAGCTGTCTTCCTCACCATGTCAGCCGTGCGGTCCTCGGAACGGAGTTGTCAACTTACATCAGGACAAAGCAGGGAAGGCAGAGGACCGCAATGATATACAAGAGCACACGGAAGTACGACAGAGGGGCTGCAGTGCCGACGGGCAAGCTGCATTCGAATTCAAACCTATAACCGCCAACGGCCATCTCAACCGCCTCCACGCGGACCCCCACAACGGTCGCCTCCAAATGCCAGCCGAAACGATGAACCGGAGGGACTGCGAGGGCACAGGCGGGGAACCGCACGGCCATTGGAGGTTGATCTGCGACTGCAGTCCTGCGGTGGACCAGGAATACCAACGGCAGACCTGACATTAAACAAAAATAAAAAGTCGAAATGGTTTTTTTCTGGACGTAGGGTGCCACCCACTACTTTCAAGTCACCTCCACTAGCCTCCTTGCATCAAGGTCCGTTTTGGCTGAGGAGCCCTTACTTTTGGAGCGCCCCACCTTACAGCCGCGAATGTGAAAACAAGTTCAGCGTTTTTTTCTTCGTGATTAGGGAGGGGTGGAACGATGAAAACCTTACACGTCAGGTTTTTGTAGTGCTGTCGAACACGGCCCTTTGCCACATCCACCTCCACTCCCGCTAAACGTCATTCCGCCATCGTCCACTGGGCCTGTCCCACATAGCACATGGGCGACGATACAGTAACAAGACCGTCGCGCGCCACACCGCCATTCGTCCAATGCGCCTGTCCCTCATGGGCGACGATAGCGTAACAAGACCGTCGCATGGTACGCGTGCGTCACACAACCTTCTGGCCTCCGGGCCAAAAGAGAAGAATGTCTCTCTCCACCATCTCCAAAGGGTCCAACCTCGTCAACACCGCCAACAATTTTCCGCCGTTCATTTCGTGACAGAAGCGGGCCTTCCAATGAATGTTGGATCGTTTTTTTCGTTTTCGACATATCTGGAAGTGTAAAATGAGACAACACCCCTAAGAGGCTGATCCCACAATTCTTTTTCGGTTTTTCTAGCTCCTTCCGCGTTTTGTGAGAAGTGGGATACAACCCTAAGAGGCCGATCCGCCAATTCGTTTTCGTTTTTTTTCATAAAGCCCAGGTTGTTTTAGAGGTGGGGTAGACGGATGGTGGTAAAGGTACTCTCTGGAGAAAAAAAGAGATCGCACACGTTTCCGTACGGGGCGCGCCTTCAAAACAATTCGAATGTTTCTTCTCAGGGCCTCCTTCGAGATCCCACACGGGTGACGATTGTGGCAGGTTTCGTGAATGAATTTCAAAAAGCGCCCTCCCCCCTCCCCCTCCCCCTGGAAGTCGGCGGCTGTGCACAATTGGATTTTTTTTTTTTTCGGTTCTGTCGTCCTCGGCCGTTCGATGTCCTCAGATGACGTTGGCACCGAGTACCTCCAGATACATTTGTGGAGACGTTGACTGCCCGTCAACTCCATGGGATCCGAATTCGTTTTTCCGCACCGCAGGGCGCAACCACGACTCTCAGGGTTTTATTTTTTATTCTCTTGGAAAAAACAAAAAAGGACGACGACCTTCAGATAATATCATTGAGCTGACCGGCCCCAAACAATTCACTAGTAGTTGGTTTTTATTAGTAGTTGGTTTTTATTAGTAGTTGGTTTTACTCGTCAAGTTCCATCATCCGGATTCGAACACAGGTCTGCATTTCAACAGTTCATGTGTGTACCCACTAAGCTAGGCTCTCGTGTCAGGGTACTTTTCCCAACATTTTCTTAAAACAGCTGTGCTGTATGGGATCACGTACCCGGGGCGAGGTCCCACAAGCAAACAGGATTGGATTAAATGCCAGAATGTGGACGTATTTTATGCAGATATGCAGACAAGCAGTTGGATCGCGATTTTCTACACCTCCCCATAAACACGGGCACATTCAGTAGTTGAATCCAATCCTCTGCGCTTGTGGGATCTCGCCCTAAGGCTCTTGAGTAGAGCCTCGCTCATTTTTTTCTCCCCTATCCCGACCGAATCATCTGACTGACAGTCAGTCAGCACGTGTGAATCTGGAATCGTGCTCCCGACCCTTCTTTTCCATTTTCCATAAAAGACCATTGCATCCTTCGGGACATCCGTTAAAATTAGAACGATACAGAGAAGGGTAGATTAGCAAATCGACCCTGCGTCTTCAAGGATGACACGCATAAATCGAGAAACGGTCCATTTTTTTTATTAGAGAAATAAAACAAACAACAAAAGACTAATGCAAATGCGTTTTCCGTCGGCCCCTTAATCTCACCCTAATAATTTCAAGAGACCCATGGCAACGAGTCCCCTTGTCACTGGCAGATACAGATTAGATACTTTTGAGGCCGCTTTCCACGGGGTGAAGTCCAAGGCCATGCGATTTCCAGATAGGACGGCATAGTGGGTTTATCCCCAATAATTTCTCCACGCCGCTGCTACTGGGCCTCCGTTCCAAGGGCCAAGTCCCAGAAGCGGCGTCGAGCTACCTCAACGCCTGAATCTGGACGTGTTTGTGGAGACGTGCATTTAGGAAACTCGACACCATTTCTGCACATCTCCGCAAAAGCGTCCAGATTCATGCATTGAGGAAGAGCTCAACACTGCTACTGGGCCTCCGTTCCAGGACCAAGTCCCGCTAGCAGCGTCGAGTTTCCTCGACGCATGAATCTGCACGCGTTTGTGGAGATGTGCAGAAATAAATCGCGTTGAGTGAATCTGAACGTGTCTGTGGAGATATGCAGGGAAAAACCGCGTTACAGTTTCCTCCACCGCACATCGCCACAAAGTTGACCAGATTCATCCGTTGAGGACGCTCAACGCTGCTACCGTCTTATCCGGAACACAAGACATAAATGCATCCTTCCGGAAAAATGGGTATATACATTCAGGAGCAGCCTGCATTATTATGTCGGGGGTGAGAGGGTAGAGGGACTTGGCCTCCGGACGCGACGCTTAAAACTTTGCTTTCTTTTGTTTTTTTTTTTTAAACTTTGCTTAAAACTTCGAAAGAAGAAAATGCCATACCATCAAACAGCCTCTTTAAATTGTTTAGTAGCTTTTTGGGTTTCTTTTTCTCTTTTTTTTATATTAAACTTGTGATCAGAACAGATACTACACTTGATCTTAGCCAAATGGTCGAGAAAAGTATAGTTTTTTTTTTTTTTTCCTTCTCTTAGGTATTGCCGTGAAACTGACCCGGCCTACGTAAACGACGAAATTCGTTCATCTGTTTCCATTTGGATTCGAACTGACGTCCGCATTTCAACAGCTTTACGCGTGTACCAACGGACAAGTGTGAAACCTACGGAATGTGCTGAGCTACCCTCTTCACCTGGGCAGAACGCCCAATCATTATCGACGTATACGGACAGAAATGTGTGCCAAATACGGATAAAATGAAAGGAAGGCAGTTGTATTCGTGCGAGGACCGTATGGAAGCCGTCAGCACTTTTATTTTTATTTTTTTTAAGAAAGGCTACGGCCTTTAAATATCGTCCTTTGAATTGACCTGCCCTAAGTCAGTCAGAAATGCATTATTTGCACTGATCTGCCTCCAGTGGAGTTCGAACTCAGCGGCTACGGCGTTTAAATATCATTCTTTTTTTTTTAATAAAAACAAAATATCAATTGAATTATGAAAAATCAATGGTCACGATTGACCTGCCCTAGGTAATTTAGAATTGCATTATTTTTGTTTACTTACCTGCGTCCAGTGCAGTTCGGACTCAGGTCCGCATTTCAACAATTCAGTGGCTTATAGTTGCGTGTGAGGCATCTATCAGTCAATATACAGCTATAATGACCGTACGTTAGATACAGCTATAAAGACCGTACATTGTATTCGAGGGAAGAAGGTAGTGCCCACGCCGTTATAAATTTCAAGCTGGTTGATTTCCAAATGGGGTGTGGAACGAGATTCAACGAGATTCATCAGGAACATACCTACCAACTGGGCTTAACGTCTCCCTTTAAGGTTCCTTTTCAAGCCCTATGGGTCAGATCCAACTTGCACAGATTCTCTACTGGCCGTTGATCACTGTAATCTACGGCGAGAAATTAAAGAGTTGGGGGTAAGCAGGAGTCGACCTCATGTTACCTCGCGTCTATACCCCTCGAGGACATACAGACAATCAGATTCACGACGTAACTGGATCTTAATGTTTTGTCATCACGATCTCAGAAAGAGCAGATCCACTACGTTACTTGTCATTATGTGATAATATCACCCCTTAGCTATCATTGCGGTCTCAGTGAAAACACACTGCACACCACCATCACTCTTTACTCGTAGTAAAGATTATACAGAACACTAGAAGTCTACGTTCTCCATCTTTCGGATGGTACAGGCAGAGGTCTGGATTCTCTATCCCTTGTTCACCTCCTTTTCGTCCATGCTCCAACTATGACGAACTAGCAGCTCTCTCTCTCTCTCTCTCTCTCTCTCTCTCTCTCTCTCTCTCTCTCTCTCTGTGTGTGTGTGCGTTTGTGTGTGTGTGTGTGTGTGTGTGTGATGAAAGTACATTTAGCGTTACCTACACGGAGAATGGCCCTATTGAGCGTTACCTAAACAGACAATGGACCCTATTGACCAGTACGCTCTCTCTCTCTCTCTCTCTCTCTCTCTCTCTCTCTCTCTCCATCTTATCGAGAACAAACGTTAACTGGTTTTCAGTGTTCACACATACCGGAATTGCGTACTCGCTCCAGGTCAGCGTGCGACAAAAGGAGACGGGCACTCGTACAAAGGTTTCAGCAGGGCCGATAACTAGCACGGACAGGTCTAAATTCAAGTAGAGCTGTCCTTCGGGACATCAGGCTTGGCCCCCGTGGAAAGACGACACGAATTAATCGACAAATAGTTAAAAAAAAAAGGAAAATCGGGTTACTGCAGGCACCAGCGAGACGGTACAGAATAGACGGACTTGTAGTAGGACAAGTTCGGAAGTAAGAACGCGCGACAACGGTCAAAGCAAAATGTCCACAAGGACCATGCGGGTAGGAAGATACGAAGGGTAGCCTGCAAAGAACATACCGTCTTCTTTCGCGGCGTTCTCAGTCTAGACGCAGCGATAATGAGCGTGCGTTCTATTCGACGGAAAGAGAAGAATCGTTTTTCAAATGCCTTCACAACTGGCAGAACAGACCATAATCCACAACCAATCCGATCCCTGATAAACAAAAGCTGATCGAATGGAGGTGTATTTTCTTCGTGCTCGCTAGATCGAGATAGGCGGGAATTCAAACCTAACGTTAACTAAAATGCAGTGGACTCGTCTCCGATCTAGCCTAATGGTTTGCACAACCGAAGAATCACAAACAGACAGAATACGGACTGCTCACAGACATCAGGGTGGGAGAGGTTGGCAGATTCTAAGCTGC